ATATATATATATTTATATATGGTGATATACTACACGTGGGTTTAATTCCAGCTCCGACACAAGGATTACCTGTAACTCCAAGCTCTCTTTTACATGGCGTTATCTTTGCACGGTGCCTGTCGGCACGAGGAATTGTGTGTGCAATTGACATTGTTATCACGATGTCGTGCATAGTTGTCGTTGCATCTGCTACAACCGTCAGCGAAATATTGAAATTCGGTAGAATTGCGGAACGGAGTTGCGCGCGTATGCGGCACTTAATCAATCGCCTGTGCGCGCGCGATGTATAATACCTTCCTCTGAAATGTAGACATAGTCGGCGGGCGACGATGCGGCAATACGCAGGCTAGTTTCACGCTTTCCTGGTAGAGACGTGGTGTCGTCCGTATATACGAGCTCTCATCTCGCATCTGTTCGTGATTTGAATTGCAAAAGCGAGCGGCGCCCAAAGCGTCTAAGCTTATGCGTTTAACGCAAGCGAAGTGCGCGACGGCGATTCGCTCGGGCCTATCGCTAGCAAAATGGCATGGCTTCCTCTATCATCGCGGCATATCACACCGTGTCGTTCGTAGGTAATCCTGCGTGTGCGGCCATCAATTTGCATGATTAATGCGCGCTCATATACATGTGGGGAGATGCGAACGGGAGAACCTTTGACCTAAACCGTAATCGGTGCGATAATTCATACGAGAGAAAAGGAGAGCTATAGGTAAAGGAGGATGTTACGTTTTGATTATATCCGGCATTAAGAGAAAAATTTTTGATAATTGTAATTATAATTACATATTAATTATAATTATTACTGCTGTTATGTTAATAATGATAACTGTATATATAATTTTATCAACAAATATATATATATATATATAGTGCAATAGAAAATAACTCTAATTATATTATTACCATAAAAATGGTTGCAATTACTGTAAATTATAGTTAAATTTTTATAAAAAATTATTTTAAATAATTTTTTTGGGATAATCATATAATATAGCCATAATTCAAAAAAGGTGATTTTAAAACGAAAATGACAAAAACGACATTTGATTATGTTTCTAAGAGAATATTTTTTTTTGCGACATTATTTGATTAATCAAGAAATTTTTTAATTGAAAAAAAGTTTTTTCCCTTTTCTGAAAAATTTGACAACATCGTATTAACTAGATTTACTTAAGTACAATAAAGTACCGTTTACCTTAGGAAAACATCGGGAAGATGAGAAAATTGTGATATATCACAGGCAATAAATCTAACATTATTTATTGATAAAAAATGTTAAGTACCTAAGATTTTAATATTATGTATAATTTGTATATCTCGGAACTTTTATTTTTGCTAAAAAACAGCCAAAGCTCAATATCCTCGTTTTATGTAGTATGTTTCTATAGGATTTCTTGGGATTGGCAGGTTAATGCTTGTACGAGCGACATTACCCATATCGCCCAAGAATCACATTTCCTCTTAAACGCCGATACTTGGTCCCTATCTCTGTTGAAATTCGCTTAACTACCCTTTGTTACGTCTATCACTGACTATCAAACTGTCTCTCTCACAACGTTGAGAATCAACAACTTCTAGTATAGTAAACCGCACAATATATGCTTCCGTAACATATAAATTATACCGTCGTATAATGTACGCGTCAGCATCCTCTCCCTCTGAAAGTTCCCTTATCCCGTAACTACAAGAATTTTTCGTGAACGTTTGTTAACAATAAATAAAATACTCGGAAGAGATTTACATACAAAATACATGGAGCATTTTAATTATTTCAAAGAAGAAAAATCGAAAATTATTTCTGACAATCGCCATAGTTCATATACAAGTGGACGGTTCAATTTCCTTTGGTTCCAGTAGGCTGTGTACGTCTGTGAGATAATTCGAGTGGAAACTGCAGCAATGCACACAGACGCGTATCGCACACACTCACCTTATCCATCAGTTGGCGAACTATCCCGTTCCACTCGCCGGTCTCGTAATCGTAAACGCCATACTTGCCATCCGGCACGAGTTCAATCCTGTAGGTGAAGCCCACCATGTCCGCTATCTCCTTCAGCAAGTCGATGCAGAAGCCTTCGTAACGCATGTTTCCGCTGAAATTCCCCTCGCTCTTCAGCATTACATACGGCTGCTCCTACGGGGATCATAAAAAGGAGCTACCGTTTTTCGCTTCGTCTCCCTTTGCTACAGGATTTCGCCCGCGATTCTTTTCTTTCAATCTTTCCTATCTTTACGTTAGTCTCCGGTCGCCAGTTCTCCCGCCCATTTTGTTATCCTGCATCTTTTTCACAAGATGCTACTACCCACGCCAGAACTATCGATATGGTCAACAACAATGTTCCGCAAAACGATAAAGCGTTCACGTGTTTGCGTCATGGGAATTTTATACGGACTGAATGTAAATCTTCTAGGTAAGGGTCGGTAGAAATCAAGTTTCACAACTTCAGTCTCGGTTCGAGAGGATTAGGGAAATTTTGGTGCGTCGCTTTAACTCTTTCACCGAGGAATACGCATTACAGATTTAATTAATGAATAATAGATGAACGCATTTTCTTATAATCGTGTTATAAAATTAGACTGATAAATGAGACTGATAAACTCATTTACTTAAGTGACGTGAATGGTAAATTGAATAAATAAAAAATATTTTATATTGTGTAAGAATATATACAATCTTACAAAAAAAGTTCGATTACAAAGTTTTGTGAGTATCAAATCAAATTAGTAGGAGAAATCGGAGTTCGATGGCACAGTTTTCACAATTTTGGCATTAGACTTTAAATCACTAATCAATATAATAATATGATAAAGAATTTTCTATATTTTCATGCCAGGAAATACGATTCTGTACACTATACATTTTCTTTGTAATAAATAAAATACGAATATGCCGCATTGTAATCAGTTTTCGATAATGAAGTAAATTGATACATGTTACGGTATAAGTTGCCTTTATGACAAACTCGATAACTTTTCCATCGTTTTTTTCGCTTTAAATATATAAACAGAACGCAATGCCAACTTGTGCCAACAAGCCACGGTAATTTCTATATTTACAGAAAAACAAACTCTGGAGTATTAGTTACATCCTATTAAATACCAACAAAATATAATTAATATTCAAAATAGTCACTTTTAGCTTTGATACAAGCTTTAAGATACTTCGGAGAAGCATCAACTATGAGGCTGCGTCTCTTTTCACGAATAAATCCTCCCAGGCAGTCAATAAAGCAGCTTTTAGTTCACCATCAATGAACATTTTTTGATGTAGAGTCTTTATCTATCTTTAAGGTGTTTAATAAGATGTAACTAACACTCTATAGTTTAAAAAATGTTACTTTTAAAAAAAAATGTTACTACTTAGAGAGCAAGCTGAAGTTATTTGTTATTATATTGATTTGATAAGCACATAAAACATTGTAACCAAACTTTCTGATCTCATATATCTATAAAAATATGCACAAAGATTTAAGGATTCTGTGCATAAATATTCTGTAAGTTACATCGCAAACGTGATGCAGCAAAGTGCATTACGTCGATTAAAAATTATCCATGCTTTTTCGCTAACTCTAAAATAACTTTTAAGAATTTCGCATAAAAGTTTACATCGTATAACCAAAGATTACCGGGATACCTCGTGTGATAGCGAGTCGTACATGTATCTATAACGGTGTGGACAGCTTTAATTGGTATTTACGACGACATACCGGGCATGGCGAATGCACTTGTCGACGTGGACGTTCGACGGTTCTCTCGATGCTGATTAGTAGCTAAATGGATTACTCTTCAATAGACTATTACGTTGAACACTTCCACGAGATGTGCTCTGCAAGCGTAACTATACGTCGTAGGCCTCAGAGACTCAGGTGCGAGAAGGCCAATTAACGTGCGTGATGTTACTAGACGATAGCTTGTCAAATAAATCTCACAAGTAATGCCGTCTTAGATCGTTATTTTACTAATAAATAACGTTCAAGATAAATGTATTATTTGTATAATTTTCTAATCGTATTAAACGCATCGTCCGATCGTGAAAAATTTAGTAATGCATATCTAATTTTTGATTAACAGATTTCTTTACTTCTATCATAATCAATTTTACACAATAATTTAATAGTGAATAACTTTTTTCTTGTCTCTCGCACATGACAAGAAAGTCTACGACCACCCAGCATCGCCGTTAAAAAATGAGAAACAAAAAATTTTTTTGTCAAGTTCGAGATGTGTAGATTCTCGCATGCAGAAATGGTGAATTAAATCACCTGATAAAACGTTGATACGAATAATCGATCGAGTTAGAAGTAACGCCGGCGAACAATGCAGGAAAACGAGAACGAGAAAAATTATCCGAAGAATTCCGATAATTGCAAGCGTACGGGAGAAACGAACGTGCAACGAGGGAGAACTTTCGTTCCACCGGACAAATATTATCTTCATCACGAACGAGTGAAAATATAGACAAAAAGATGCTCTCCTCTAGATGTGAGCGTTATCGCACGGTCGTCGTATATTCAGACGTGGAGAGTTGGAGGTCTAGTATGCGCGGGGTCTAGATTTAAATTTAAATTCAAATCGGCTTCTTGAAATGCAATAAAGTAGCTTCACTTCATGAAGCTTTCCGCCATTTTGGATGAAAACGGGGCCGGTGACTGCCGCACGGCGGAAACGCGAGAGATTTAATTAGAGGGTATGTCGAGTAGATTTGGTATTTACGAGCCGCATATGAGAATTTCGACCGGATTAACTGCATACTGCAGCCTATATAGAGAATGCATTTGGCACGCATTAATTAAGCCGCGTTGAAAAGCGGCGTTGGAAAAAAAGGAAAACGGAAAAAAGGAGCGTGCTAATCTGTTGAGATTCAACATTTATATACAACACATTTTATAATGTTTTTAAGCTGTTAATATTTTTATCCCCGTTATTTAATATTACTACTTTTATGACAGAGGATTCAAAGAAAAAAAAGAAAATAAAAGAAACGAGAACGTATGTGTTTCATTTTGTGTACATTCTGTGTATGTATGCATGTTGTTTGAGGTTTTACATTCGTTTGTAAAAAAATTGTCATGCATATGTACGTATACATATGCATGGAAAGAGCTTGGAAAAAAATTCAAACATAAGATTTAATCCAAATAAGCTGCGCGAATGCGCGCACGAAAACAAAGATGAAAAATTAGCATTGCATAAGTTAAAGGTAAAGGCTTAGTGAGAGAAATTATTTCTTGCTGGATGAATTGTACAGCGAATATTTACCATAGATTTTAACGTAAAGAATATATCGCGTGATATGGAAAAATCTGCGCTTGACTTATCATGCGCGTAGATTAAGAGAAGACGGATTAAACGGTCAGCGCATTTATGAATAATTACTTAATATGGCACACTCTCGTGAGAGTGTTAAAGTCCGTATGCAATCTAGAAGACAGAAATGAGATATAAAATTAATTTAAGCCAACTTAATGGAGGCTGTAAGGCCACTTTTAACTCTTCTTTGAATAATGCATGAGTCTTTTGAATAGAGCGAAAAAGTACGTGAAGCGAAAAGCCGTAAGAGCGTAAAAGATTTAAAGAGAAGAGGCAAATTTCAACGCGACCGCAGATACAAAGTGACGTAAATATCGACGAAATATGTAATTATTAAAGATTTCAGATGTAGTTAGAGAAGAAAATTTTCTAATTTATAAGAAATAATTGATCAAAGTAAGTAAGAAATTCATAAATCTTTCCATGATTATATAATATGTGTGTGTTGCTTTAGTAAATACGTAAAAGAGAACTGCTCTCCTATATATGACGTACATACAGTTCCATTAAATTTGTATGTTGTGTTTTAATAAATTTAATATTATGTTTTAATAAATGTCAAATTTTATCGTGATATTACAGAATTTATGAAATACTGTTAGTTCGTATGAGAAGTACATTTTCTTCCCATTTATTTTCGCGTATAACTGATACCTATCATAAATAAACTAAATTTCACATACATTCTATCTCTTACTTTTAATTAAGAAAAAAACCGCGGTATACAAGAAACATTGGTCGTATGTTAATTTTTATATCTGAATGAAGAGAGCTTTTGCATGATAATTTTTAATTATAGATAATTCTAAATTATCATGTGATATATAAATACCATATTTAATCTAATTAATTAATATCGATAAACGCGAGTCGTAAATTAAATATATAGGTCTAAGACTAAATAAAAATAAAATGAAGGAAAGATGAGCCAATAAAAGCCGATGCGGATATCGGTGTGCAATAAAAATAATATATTTAATCAATTATTACTCGTAGTAAATTAAGTAAAAACGTATACGTTTCGATCCTAATTTTGGAGTTTTTTTCAGTGTACATAAGATATATGTAGACGACAGAAAACATAGGTTAAAATAAAATTGCAATAAATAATAAAGCATTGAAATACAAAGCAATAGCCACTGTGAAAGATTAAATAAAGCTGGATTTTGGTTACATAGTTCTATTTTTTGATACAACTTTCAATTTAACAAAGATATATAATTTCCATTTTATTTAATCTGTGTCTGTTGTTTCGCACTTTGATACTTCATTGTTTATTTTAATTTCATTTCGACATGTGTCAAATCAAAATGTTTTTATTTATGTAATTTACTATGTAACTGACTAAATATATTGTATTATTGCACATTTACTTTCGCGTTGGTTCTTATTGACTTACTCTTCATTTTATTTTGATATTTAATATCGTTTGGCATCAATAAATCAATACGGCGTCGTCTCCTTCGTCTAAATAAATTTGCATTAAAGGAGAATTTTGTCCATCCAAGTTATACAAATTGTCAAATATAAATAATCAAGGAATGCTACTTCATTATTTGAAAATAAACATATATTAAATGATACATTTCATGTAAGCTATCATTTTCGTGTTTCACATTATCGAAAAATCTTTCATTTATTAAAAAAATAATAATAAATAATATTGGGAAAGAAATAATTATTATTTTCAAATGAAAATTTCATGTAAAGTCATATGTCGTTATACCATATGTATGATTATACATATAGGCTCAGTATAATTATATTAATTGAAACATGTAATTGACATTGTTAGTGCATCGCATGATTCTGCGATGTTTACACTGAACAGTTTGCGATCATTTTACGATCTTATTTTATGTTAACTGATATTTGCGAGTTGTTAACGCCGTGCAAAATTACGTACAAATCATTGTGATTTATTTTTACACAAGGACAGCTTTTATTCTATAATATGATAAATATCAGAATAATTAATCATAATGTTATTAAGAGAACAAATTTAATTAGTCAACCATAGAACTATTGCAACTAAATACACAAATCAAATTATAACTAAATTCAAAATATTGGATTAAAAAAATATGGGATAACAGAAGGATACGATCATCTTATTATTATTTATATTTATACAAACTAAAGTAAACTTTTAAAGTAAACAACGTTATACATTTACATTTCTACCATTAATGTGATTACAAATTAGGCCGTCAAAACATTAGTGAGTATTAAATTACTAGCAAGGAAACATTTACGGTAGTACATTCGTATATTAATTGGCCAAAACATATTGTCGAACCGTGTAATAATTTGCAGTTATCGATACAACAATCAGTATGGGATTTACTCTAATTTGTGATATATATGTGATTTTAGGTAACAAGGTAAAACTTGCCTTGGCTATTCAAAGTAAATAACCAAAGTGAATAGTCCAACAAGAGATTTCTCCAGAGACTCTAGCAATATACGTGAGCGAGTGCTCAGGATGGGATCGTGTATTAAAGGGAGATGTGAGAAATGAAACAAACAAACCAAATCATACATGTCGCATAAGCTCTCGTACGATGCCGTTCCATTCGCCGGTCTCCGGGTCTCGTGCGCCGTACTTCCTGTCCGGCACCAGCTCCAATCGGTACGAGAAGCCTACCTCCCTCGCCACCGCCGCCAGAAGGTCCATGCAAAAACCGTAAAACCGCGAGTTCCCGGTGTAGTTCTTTTCGTGGTGCATCATCACATACGGCGTCTCCTGCGTCCGCCGACGAGCGAATCGGGATTCATGCAAGAATAACGAAAAGCGCTTTGAGACCGCCGCGGCGTAACGCGGATTTATGACGAGACATGTTGGCGCCGACCATATCGAGGAACTTTCAACGGTTATCGCGCGTTTCTCGCTCGATTCGTTCTTCCAAAATGGGTGGTACGGCGGTGTCGGAGTTGAAACAATAAAACAGCCCCGGCATTATGCGGCAATCTACCTCGCCTTGCATGATATCTTCCCTTTTTTTTAGGAAGCAGAAATGATTATGAATATATTTGAATATATTCCTTTTAGCTGCGTCCAAATGTCGTATAATTTTGCAATAAAGCCGTGCGTAGATTTATATAAAGATTTAAAAGAAAGAACAAATGTTATTAAGCAACAAAATGCAGATTTGAAACTCACCAGTATAGTAATCACAATCAGAGTTACGTTCCCGATGTTAGGCTCGAAAAAGGCTGCAGTGTCTGTAACGTTGACGCCGACGCCGGGACGCCACTCGCCGACCTAATTTCGTATGTAATTTTATTAAATACCCATTTGATATTCGCAACGTTCTTCTAACACGCTTCCTATTTTGCTTAAAGTAAGGCCATGACATACCTTAACAAGTGAGTGTTGTTTCAGTTTCAGCAGATCCAATTTAAACTGAATTCTACGGCCTTCTTTAAATTCAATAGGTCCTGAGATTCCTTTCATCTCAACCTGCAACAAAAACCATTGCGGATTCGCGTTCGTGAGAGTGCTCTCTTACATATGTTACTTGAGTTCGTCAACCTTATTCCGTGACAGTTCAGCAGATTGAACTTGAAAGAACAAACATTTTGTATATAAAATGCTCCAGTGATAGTGCAGTGATTGCAGTTGTTTATTCAATCCCATTTATTTTAGTTGATAAATGAAATTCGATTCAACTAGATACCGTAAACTAAAGTTTAAATGCAGCAATATAGAAACAATTTTAAAGGAAAGAAATGTTACAATAGAAAGAAGAATTATTTTATTCCGGTACTACGACCGTAAAGTGCTTGAAATAAGATCTTTGATTGCGTTGTATTATTATAACCCTTCAGCGCTACTACGAACACATTATGATATTCTCGACTTTTTCAAATGTTTTTCAATGCTTTTTTCATTGCTTATTGCTTAAGGAAGCTGCGCAAAGAAACTTACGGATTATTTCCGTGTGTTGATGGTTAAATGCCAAAGTTTCGTGATATTATAATTCACTTCATCAAGACAGGAAGCAATCTGATACTGAGCTGCTTCTCTTAAAGATTCTATACACTGTATATGTGATACAGACAGGGAAGGAGGAAGAGAAAGCTGAGGATACAGTAGCTTATAATTTTTGATCAATAAATTTACAAAAAAAAATTAAATGTAAAATAATATAGACCTTTTAAATCCGTTAAATACTTTTTATAAAATCTTGATACCTCTATGTTTTATTTATTTTATCTATTTATTAATTTAGTGTATAAACACGTTTATCCATTCGATGACCTTTCACAAGCTCACACATCTTGTATTATACACACTATTCTTATTTGCGCTCTGCTTTGTCATCTCATCACTACTATATTACTAATATAAGTTTTTTATTATTAATTTTTTTACTAATATATTTTTTTATTATTATTTTATTTGATTACGATTGCTTCAATCAATGTAAGTTTTCAATTAATCTTATATATAGTTTATTGTAAAGCAAAATTGCTATTTGAGGATGTAGTGGCTAACTTGTCAGTATTATGCTAAAAAAAGATCTAAACCGTAACGTTTGTATTTAATTTCGAATAACATATTAACATGTTCCTGTGTCAGATTTCATGACATTTCAGGACATTTTGATTTTTTAATAACAATATCTACATTTTCTTGGTATCTTAATGTTTAGCGTTTGAAAAAAAAACTCGATTGAAAAAAAAAAACTTCTTTACTATATTTTTATTTTTAAGAAAGTTATAAACAATCAAGTTAGTTGAGTACCTAAGTACGTTGTTTCCCTAGTGTAACATCGAAGAGATAATAGTAAGTTAGCCTAGACGAGAAGATTTTCTACAAGCTCCATATAAACTGTGAACTGCATTAAAATGCGATGCAAGATGGATGCGCATCACCGGCATAAATCTCTCAATTTCGGCGCACATCAGCGCGAAGACAAAACTCGTCATACAATAGTTTGGCTAACAGCTAGCAGCTGTATTACGGGCTCAGAAATTTTCCTAGTTGCATTAAAAATTTTCGCACTTAGAAAGTCGTTACCGCTTACGTGGGCGCGAATCTCGTAAAGTTGTTAAAGCTCCTTCTTGAAGATTTTACGCCACTCGTAGGCTATTCAGATATGAGCGGTAGGTCATATTCGCCGGCTTCCGATAAAGTGCCACGAAATCTGCGAGGCCATTAAGCGATATTAAGAAAGTGACAGGATTGGCGAGGAAAAAGGATGAGGAATAGATGGAAACGTATAGTTTTAGCAGAAATCATGGAATGCATAAACTTCTAAAAGAGACAGGCGCTTTCAAACGACATGGCCAACGTTCGCCAACATTAGCGTAAATATACTATATATATATATATATACACACACACACACACACACACACACACTATATATATATATATATAAATATACATAACGTACATAATTTGACAGTGTACGACGCTCAAGCATGATAAGTAATGTTATTAAAAGTTTTGATATCTTAGCAAACAGCTTGGGTGTCCTATATAATTATTTTGTATTTAAGTTTTTAGGTTCTTCAATAAAACTATTTCTATGTATGTAATAATTATCATTAAAAATAAAGCATAATTTTCGCGAAATAAGGAAGATTATTGTTTGCTAGTAAATTAATCTAAAAACCGATTTGGCCGATTTTTATAATATTTCATATATTAAACGATAATTTAGACTGTTTATATATAAATGTTTTCCGACAGCCAATAAAGGACTGCACTTTAAAAATCATTATCATATGATACAATATTTAAAAATCTTTACTGTCATAACTTTCTATGGAATAACATTTTTGTTACAAAACCGAGGAAGCCCAATTTTTTTTTTATAGCAATGCACTTAAATGATGGAACATCCTTTTATATTTTCATTTTTTTATACGTTCGATATAACCCATACGTTTGCTACGAACCGCAAAGAATTAAAATACAAGAGCTCGGACTGTAAAAAGAAAAAAATAGAAAATGGCTACACACACGGAATAAAGAAATATACGCACACGGTTTAATAATGTTGCAAATATTACTTTCTTTATGATCCAATTTTTCATCATTAATGCAGTTTATATTAGATTTTCAAATATTAAAAACTGTACAGAGATTTTATTGATGTTCTTGGGATTATATACTATGCACGGCAGGATGCACCTGCAATAAAATTCAAAAAACAAATAATACCGGATAAAAGAAATGTATTTCAGCTTATTCTCGCGGCTGTAAAAATCGTCCCATCTAATCGTCGATTCACCTTTTCCGATTTATAATAAAATCGCAGCGAAATAAAACAAAAATATATTTAATCCTTTATAACACTGAATTCTTCGTAACGCTGATGTATGATAAAAACATTTATGGGATGCTTGAATAAATAATATTTGTAAAAATGATAATACGAAAGTTCAAGAGAGCGGAGAATTTTTTGATAACGTTTTATTTCTGCTAGGTAATGCAAGACTAGAATGAGCAGAAACGGAAAATGAAATGGAGCAGAGCAAATGCAAACCTAAAGTTTGATTACCTCATTAAGCAGAAACTTTCGTCAAGAGAAATTTGACGATTTCTCATTTCTATTGTCACATAATGCTCCCATGTTTTTTTTTAACAGAAGAAGAAGGCAAGAAATAATTATAGCATAATATTCGTCTTCCTTTTAAAACAAAACCATTAATGTTCTTCTAAAATGTGCTTTAGGTTAACTTAAAAGTTACGTGAGGCATAATTAATACTCCAACACACTAAAGCACCGTATATACATCGCACCACATTTATCTTGGCCACATTCTTTTGCATTAGTTTTATATTTTCCGCGAATGCAACCGAGTTGACTGTCCACCAGATTTTTCGTCAGCGCGGAACCATAAAGTGTGAAATTAACGTATGAAAAGCGACATTGTACTAAATTAGCAACATCGCATGTTTTAAATATATTACACCAGTGCCCTCATAAAATATTCATAACATGTAAATTATGCTATTGCATAAATGAATGTAAATGTAAAATGTTATGACAGTTCGCAAACCGCGACTACTAAATACCGCTTCACGCGCATTTAAACATGCTTCATAATAAATTAATAAAACAGATTTAATAAATAATGTCATCATATTTCTCTACATACATATACAGTAAATCTTCATATTTTATTATCGAGAATTACAAATTGTTTCGGATAAATAGAAAGATTTGACTGTTGCTAAATTTGAAATTGTTAAATTTGAATTTGTATATGCACTTGTAGATAGCATTATAAAGCTGTTCTTTCTTTAACTGACTTAAGATTTTGATTCTCTTTGCTAATAAAATATTGCAACTTGTTGGGAGAAAATCTAAAATCTTGGATGACTTAAAAATAAAGAAAATATAAAATTCGTATGATCATACATGTTGCATAATAAAAATAAATATAAAGTCGATTTGGAAGTTACACATATTTTACATATATTTTAGAGTTTTATGATGATTTAATTTATTTTACCAATTTAATTTGTCGTCTACTGATGGATATTTATTAAATATTAAATGACAAATGTGATTTTTTGAAGATGGCTAGGCTTTCATCTACTCTCATAATATCTCGCTATTTTAATAAAGTAACGTGTTATAAAATCCTCGCCCAACAGCTTTAATTCGCTTTGTTACGCCGATCAAAATTCAGATGGGCCGCGAGAACAGCCGGAATGAATGATCGGTAAATTTAACGCGGTATCCCCTACAGCCGCTATCCGGCAGTCATTCCTGCGGCAAGTCTAATTAAAGCCAAAGCGGAAGTTATCACAGATTGTCGAGCGTGACTCAAATCCGAAAGTGTTTTCCTTCCGCGGCGAGGAAACGTCGAGGAGCAACTGCGCTGACGGTTTCATCGGGATAATTATAAATTGTCATTACGGGAGACACTCCTTTTGTCCACGAGAAAAAAAAAATCTCCTTTCATGGACCGACGTGGTGCAACGACGAAGACTTTTATCATTGTGCGCTCTTCGTGAGTCTCGCGTCGTGCCGCATATATCTTGGCCACGCGAGCGGAATATGAGAAGCCGTCTTAAAAGCGAAACGCGTTGCACCGGCACGAATCTCGTAGCGCATTTTAGTGCG